GCGGGTCAGGTGGCCTCGTGGATTGACAATGGCGCCTCTACTTGGAGCGAACGTCAACGACGTCGTCGACCGACGTGGCTCCTTCGACGCCTGATTGAGATACGAAAACGTGGCGGTTCTTTGTGGTTAGGAGAAGATCAGTTACCTTTGGAACGCCAGGGTGCCACACCTCATCGAATGGATCCGGATTTGTGGAAGATTATGCAAAGCCGTGAAACGGAGGAGAGATCGGACGGATTGCAAAGCGGTCTTGTCTGTCCTGAAGGACAATTTTGTCTTCTCCGACAATTTGATGGACGTCCAATGTGTACCGGTTTTTTGGGAGATCGTACAGATGGATCATCCGACCAGGAGCCATGCATCCGTGAACCATTCGTCACTCCCAAATGTGGTGTGGACAACCGAACCTACGGCAGTGAGTGCGAACTGAAGTTAGCTGGTTTGGAGAAACAACTGGAAGTTCGAATTGCCTATGAGGGGCCATGTAGAGGTAAGCAATTCAATACATGGCAGTACTGCTCTACCATCATCATCAACCGGAACTTCCGTCTGTTTAGTTTAATTTGATTGTTGCTTCCCAACCTTGTATCTAACAACGACAGCACTTTGACAATCGATCTGACTCGTTGGGGAAAATTATGTCAGCAATGTTTTCAATCGTATTAGGCAAAAGATCAGACAGTCTTCAACTCCCGCTGGTGCATCAGGTGACGATGGACGATCCCGTAAGTAGGCAACATTGGGTCGAAAGTATAAAGTACATTTAACTGAGACTCAGTCCTGGGTACGTGTTTCTACGGTTAGTCGGTGCAGTGCGTAGTGATTTTCAGTTTTGTTCTAGAAAGTGTGACAACAAATTGTCTTCAACAAAACAACTCTGTTGTTCTTTTGACTTTAAATATATTGACCGTTAGATAGATAACCACTCAAATTCATGTGAATTGAACGCTTTCCGGTAACTGACATACTCTTTACGTGCTCAGTGCTTCTTGATGTGATCCACTACTCACAAGTAGTTGATGGAACGAGAACGGATTAGCAAATTTTTCTCAGCGCATAAGTCAGACGAACAAGAAAACGCTGGACACTTGAAGCTTGATTCTGTTGCTCAGAATAATATCTACGTCTACTTGGGTGTGTGCAGCCCAATGAAAAGCGATGAATTAGACGCATGCAGATGTAAGTGAATGAATGTGCCACCATCCAGAAAAAACAAATAGTAAAAAAGCAAAGCGAATGAGCAACAAAACTTATGAGCGTCGCTTGAGACGAACAAATTTTGCAAACATTTGTTACGCTTTCGGGTCAGACGCGAATTAATTTTGAGTGAGGTTTTGCAGAAATAAAAACAATGAGTAGTCCTGAGAACAGATTGTTCTATCCCAGTTCTTTTTTTTGCCCCACGTCTACACCGAACCGTAACTGAAGGCAAAGATTATTGTTAATCGTTGTCGCTAGCGGACTTAACTAATTTGTCGTCACGCCCGCCAATCACTCACTCACCCAATCAATCAATCCACCAATCAATCTGTCGCTGTTCCTCTCCCTGCATATATATATATATATATTTCAAGAGAGAATGGAGACGTACACTCAGTTGTAAAACGTTTATATCTATATACATATATATATATATATATAGAGAGAGAGAGAGGGAGAGAGTAGTATGGTGGCTTGCGTTCCTCTCTGACCTTTACAAGCGCTACAGGAAGGCTTCACAACCGCAGATCTAGTCATGTCCGAAAGATTAATGAGTTGAGGTCAGACAAAGCTCGCTGTCACTGGGCCAGCTGCATGGGCACCTTTTGGACTCCTTAGACCGTATACCCTCTCGCCTGAAGAGGTTACTCCAGCAAACAAGCACGATGAGTGGAACTTAACCGGTTAAAAATCCCGCTGGATGAACGTAGAAGTGCGTTACTTGGCGCTTCCTGCCGACAGTGGGAGACGTAATTCACTGGACAGCTTCCACCACTCTAGGCAAGGCTGTCCTGAGTAATGTACTATCTCCTCCCTGTTCTGTTTGTCATTGGGTGTATGAGACTGTGGGTCAATCCCGAACAGCAAACAGCTGATTTTTCGCACCAATGAACAAAATTCGCGACCGAAACCCGAAGAACTTGCGTACCAGGATTCTATAGATGCTCCCACACGGGCTCTTCGGTCACGACCCTGGTTCATAGGTCTGAATTTCGTGCCAAAGGCTCCGATCATGTTTACCAAAAATGTCTTTCGTCGATATGGGCTGCACATGTGGTATGTTGTGCCCTAAATCCTCAGGCACCTGCTTCGGAAATCCTATTTTTCGTCTGTTTAGTTACTCCCCTCGCTCTTAATACTCACGAGTTGTCTCTCGTTTCTGTTACTCATTATAAATCACTCAGTTTAACCAGTAAGATGGGCAGATCAGATAATACTGATTTAATAATACCTGAAACTCCTCTGCAATCGGCTGCATTCAGTGTCTACACACTCGATGAGATCGACCTACGATGTTCACGCTCATATGAGATACTTGGATTGATCAGAGAAGCGCCTAGGCGGGCCGTGGGCTATCCCAACCAAAGGTAAAGACAACTCGGGTCACCTACTTTAACTTTGAACGAACTAAGGGCTGTTCCTGTCCACCAGCACCGACTTATCACCTTAAACAGATATGGTCTTATATTGAAAACCCAAACATTTCTCACTGATGGAATGAAACCAACCACATAGCTGTTAACTTCCACTGGAGGTGATCAATTCATAAATTCTGATTTCACTGTTCAACGATCACTGGACGCTAATCACATTGTTCAAAACAACTATAGATTCTGACACACTCCCAGATAACAAACAATGGATTTCCTCAATCTTTTCTGTCCTACTCTATGTTCTTAAACCTATTCCTGCGTGTATGGCTTTACGAGCATGTCCTCAAAACGCCAGCTGATCAAGAGCGGTAGGAGTGACCGCGCACGAGAAGTGGTGGGTGAAAAAATCGTGAGAGAGAGAGAGAGATGTAAAACAATGTGGAGACTGGTAGTAGAAGCAAATATTTTTGATTAGTCAGTAGTACGAACGCATGATAAGTAGGCTTAAGAGAGGCACTGTAGAAGTTTGACTGCACACTGATTCACGTACAGCGACATCCAGATTTGTCAACTACTCTTTTAGTTATACAATTACTACCAGTTGATATCTCCCCTCTTTCGGATATGAAGGTTGCTCTGGAAATGACTTACCTTAAAAGGTGTCAGGTTTCTTACATGGATTGACTTCATTGGCTTTTAGGGATAGAGTTTCAGTCTTCGGACTTGAGTTGACAATCCTCCTCAGCTCAGTATTGGATAGTGAACTGCTTGGAACTGAATAATATTAATCGGTCACCTTACCAATTTACAAAACCACGATAATTCCCGTCGAAAATTCCTCGGAGGACTTAGTTTAACCAATATTTTCTAAGCTGCCGCAAGCGAACGGTACTGTCGTGAGAACCAGGCCAATGTTAAACGAAACCGAGGCTGCTTCGACCACACTTCTACTTTTCATCAACTTCTGAAACATAAAATATTTCATTAGTCGACTCACAATTACTTTTCCCTTGACTTAAACATAGTCTTTGACTCTTTCCACCGTACTACTTTCCGGCACTGACTCTCTCTTAACCGCGGGTCAATAGAAGTCTATTTTATGGAACATTACAACGTCAAGTTCAACCGTACAACTTTTCCTTACCTGATTACACCAAGGAAATCGGTGTCTGGTACCATTGGACCTTTATCCCCATTTTTATTCAAATTTTAATGAACGCTTTTCTGAAAGTAGTCCTATTAACAGGTTATCTGGCCTACCGTATTCAGATAACGTTGTACTGCTAAGTTAAGATACAGCTACATGGCAAGCTTTTCTGGATAATTTGAGTGTTGTCAATAGCTCTGTTGGGCATTTATTTTGGGACTTGGAAATGCATAACACTGTTGCAGGACTGGTTTAGTGTCTAATCACCATAAACCTCAATCTAACTGAGGAAGCCATTGAGAAAGGGGAAATAGCTGTTTTGTAATGTTGCACGTGACCTTGTAGACTTTCATAGATGAAGTTTACTAGTGCATACATTACACATACCAACAGGTAGATAACCACGGCGTGTGATATTCGTCGAGATAGGTAATGAGCGAAAAAAGCCATGCGTTATCACACCAAAACCTGGCATAAGGGTATGAAAATACCTGACCAAGAGACTCGATCATGTAGGTCTTGATAGGTTTGTTGGACAGAACCTCCAGCTCCGCGTAACCAATGGCTCTAGTCGCGGAATGGCATGACTAAGCGTCTCCAACCAAGGTACTCGAACATCTTCTCAATCGAGTTACAACCTGAATCTCTAAAATTAAAATCCTCCTTCTGTTTCATCTGCCACCAAAAGACAGCAGTCAAAACGGCCGCGCAAAAGTAAAATGAATGAATGTATAAACTAGAAATGGAAACTGTCAAGTCTCGTGACTGAGTTAAATGTCATATTTGGTTCAATCGCATAGGTTCATTGTTTCCCAGATCTTCACTCATTTTCGCAGGTCAATCACATAAACGGTACAACCAAAGTTTAATCTCCAGAAACTGTTAGACGATTTCCGGCGGTTACTCAACGATGTGCAACGATGACTAAAATGTGAGGCCCTTTTGTGCCCGTTGATTCTTGAGTCGTCATATCAGCGCGTACGCGTGACTTAGGTCAACCGTAACGGGGACAGTATGGTTCTTAGCGAACGTGTATGCATGTGTGTCTGATATCAAACTATAGCGGACCAGTTCGTTTACTCCGTCCAAATATGATAGATCAGAAACAAGCTTCACAGTTGCCGTCATAAAATATAGGATGGAAATAACTAGAAATTATTTAGAAATACTACGCGTAGATTAGATTGTTTAACTTTTGTTCAAAAGTTCGAAGCACAGTTCTTGTTACTTTGGGTATGAGTTTCACTGCTTCAACGTACGGTCATTCTCACAATAAAAAGTACCACATTATATCATCAGTTATGAGCGGCACTCAGCCCGATGTTTCCTAGTTCGATTCTAGTTCGAGGAGGGCAAAACATAGGACGCTTTTTGACCAGAAAAAATGGCTGTCCAGTACTCTTCTACGGCCATCACATAACATTTCCATTGATTCTATAAATCCTTTAAATGTGTTTGATGAGACAGAAAAAGGAACCCGTTTTCATGATGCAGAAACGACATAATAAATCCGTGGGGGTTGTATTTGAAATACAGCGAATTGTAGAATAGGTACTGCCAGGTTCTGGGCAGGTAATGTTGAAAAAAAAATCGAAAAAAATATCGGTGCGAGAGTAATGTCGATAACTTGGTTGAATCACGTGATCTCTGTTGCTGTTGTCTTAGTTTCCGCATTTGAAAGCCTAATTGAAGCTGCTTGTAAAAAATAGGGTGAACAAAAAGCAAACATTTCATGTGACTCCATCAACAGTTTCATCAATCGATCGCCAATCATCAATTTCCTCTTCGGAAGTCCAGAACATCGCGAAATTTGATGTGACATACAGAATCCTTTTAGATAAGCAATTGATAGATGGATCAACCATTCATTCATGATATAATCTTATGCAAGTGGTTGAACCCAATGACTTAACCTTCTGATTTCGAGTACATAGGAAAATGATTGAAAACCTGAAGTGTTAAAACATGTTTTCACATTACTTACGCTTCACAATACATCCCCTTTTTACTACCTGTCTTACTTTATCCAGCTCACGCGACATGCAACAATGTAGTCTGCCCACGTGAAGGTATGGTCTGCCGCCCGCATCATGCAACCGGTCAGCCCGTTTGCTTAGACTGTGCCACTCTACCGACCGATTGTAACGCATCGTTCCGCAAAGCGCAGCTGAAAGACCTGAAACGGGATGGGGTCTCGCATTTCGGTGATCCAGTTTGGTCGGCTCAAACTCAGACAAACGGTTGGCCAGTCATTTGTGGCTCCAACCGACGAACCTATGCAAACACATGTTTTTTGCACATTGTCAACTGTTTGAGCACTCAATTTGTGGATTTGAGTCCACCACAAAATTGTGAACTGGCTGTAAACGCGAATGATGCTGATTCGAGCGGGGGGAGCGAACATGGATACTCGCGAGGTAAGAGATCGTCACGTAATCGATTCATTCACAAATTAGATCAGACAACACCATAAAACACCTCTTTCTAGTACGCTCATGTGCACTCACAGTCTGAACTAGTCAACAAGCGATTGTTGATTCCGTGTTGCTAAAATGTTAATCACTTCCTCAACCCCCCCCCCCACTCCCTTATCCCCATTGGTGCACAAAATCATCTGTGACTGAATGTCTTTTTTAGTTGTTTATCTTATAATCCAATCGACAGCTTGGTAATTTGCAGTAGGTCAGATTCTATGCCTAAAAATGTATTCGAAACTGCCCTACTCATCAGGTTATACACACATAGCTACACACACACACACACATATATATATATATATGCGTCACAACGACTTCATTCGCAATACCGGGTAAATTTGTTTGTACAGCTGTTTCAGAGCCTGGCCAATGAAGAATCAGTACTATGATTCGATTTTACCCGATCTATCTGCGTGGCAGAGAAACTTTGATTATAAAAAAACTAAACCAACAGAGGTATTATGTTTCGAACAGTGAATCATACGAACAGGGGTATGCAACTAACAGCAACTTGAATAGCATCGGTTGGGGATAATACCAATCTGGGTCTTAGAATTATGTAATTGTTGTAACGAAGTGCATTTGCTCAATTGACTTCATCCCGTCAGATTCAGTACCCGATTTGGGAACAAACATGTCCGGTTTGCATGAATAACTTGCACATTCTCGTGACTACGGGTTTTACCCTTGGACGAGGGTATGCAATGAAAGCACAATCAAATGAATAAGGAAACGAATTATCTTTCTCGTCATTATGCAGCTTAATATAATGAAGTGTATGGAAACTAATCAAAAAGCTTGCTTGTCGGTTATGGAGCGAACCTTTCTTAAGAATGCCCCTCGGGGGGGGGGGGGCTGATTAAAGGAAAANGAACGCCACTGCTGTCGGTTTTCGATACCCGATATCCGTCAGCGTTTTCAACTAACCAGTCGCAGAGTTTTTTTCGATGGATGAGAGATATCACCTGTATCCTTTGTATTTCAACAACTGCATGCGTACGCATTGTCTGTGTTCTCATTTTACGACCCGGTTTTTCTCTCGTTCTCATTGCAGATGGACACTAATAGTCTGGAGATGCGAACAGCTAAGAGGTCTTTGCCCGAAGCGAAAGAACAATGGACAATGGCAGATCAGCCTTTCAGATTTCGTGCTTCATACACTCGTCAAACTACAATATATCTATCTGTCTATCCGTTTGTCGTCTGTCAGTCAATCGATCCGTCCCTTCTTCCGTCCATCCTCAAACTCATTTGATATACCTGATATCCAGTTGTTCCTTCACATCTCCCTCCATTCCGTTTTTGTTCTCGCTTTCCCGACATTCGGCGGTATGTTGTC